AGATTTTTGTTTATAAAATTTTGTTGTTGTTCTCAACGTGAATTTTATTTTATTACCTCGTCTCCATAGTTACTATTTACAAATAGTCAATAATATAGTAGGTCCATTTTATTGTTATTCTTTCTACGCACCGTTATAACACACTTTCATCTCATCATTTAATTTCCGTTGTGCATATATTGTTGTATAGAAGATATTTTAAAGTGATTCATCAGGTGGAAAAACGAATATATAGATATGTGGCGCCATCTAGTGTATCGAAAAAACGGGGCTAACTCGGGGCTTATTACACAAACCCTCACTACACTTATAAAGTTTAGCAGCACCTCCCCTTCACGGATCCCTTCCAGTCCCCGTCACTAAAATCGTAATGGGCAGACAGTAATCGAACTATTCTATCTGGATAAATGCATTTTGGCTTTTGTGACTACTCCTATTCCGAGAAATCGAGCGTGACGTGACACACGCGGGCTTTTATACAGGGTATACAACCTTAAAGCACTAGAGCCCATTATCTCTGTACTTGCCTATAGAAATAAAAAATAAATGACAATAACCTGCATACGCACTTATGATTCTTTGGTGTGATAAGATTAATTCGAAATGAACGATAATGTAACTTATTTACTGTGATTATCGAAATACAGAAGTTTTCATTTTCTTTCGCTTGTCATAATGTAATTTTACTTGTTTATATACGAATTCTCAAAACTCGTATAAATATTTTTCCTCAAAATGCTAACCTGCATCCATCGATTGCAAAGAAACTAAAAACATTACTACTTAATTTATGCCGTCTCTAATGTTTTATTGTAAATAGTGATTTTATTGAATGTTTGCTGGTTAAACAATTCAGTGGAATTTTTATCAATGTCGCTGATCAGTTACGCTTTTGTTTGCTGTAAAGCACAAAGCTACACAATGGGCTATCTGTGCTGTGCCCACCACGAATATCAAAACCCAGTTTTTGGGGCTATGAGCTCTCACGCTTACCCTGAATCACTGGAGGATGATCCGTTATGCAAGACCACAATAAGTAAGAAACATTTCATAATACATCAAATAATTTTTTCTGTTTTTATTGGCTATTATGAATATCTAATCTACTTGAATAGCTTTGGTTTCCATAATTATTTTAAAGTTGTTCGCCTATAAAACATGTTTTATCTCTACCATGGAACTGTTGTTCACTTTGCAACTGAAACTGGAAGAGATATATGTAATACAAGATGGTGCTTTAACAAGAACAACAAAAAAAACTTATATGTAATACAAGATGGAGCTTTAACTAGAACAATGACAAAAATCCTTATATGTAATACAAGATGGAGCTTTAACAAGAACAAAAACAAAAAAACTTATATGTAATACAAGATGGAGCTTTAACAAGAACAAAAACAAAAAAAACGTATATGTAATACAAGATGGAGCTTTGACAAGAACTAAAAAACTTATATTTAATACAAGATGGAGCTTTAACAAAAACAAAAACAAAAAAACTTGTATGTAATACAAGATGGAGCTTTAACAAGAACAACAAAAAAACTTTTTGGATCAAAATGTAAGTTACAAACAGTAATCGTTCTTTTTTTTTTGTAGTTTGAGGTTAAGCACAAAGATGTACAATGAGCTATCATGCTCTGTCCATCACGGGTGTCAAAACCCAAATTTTAGCGTTATAACTTTAAGACTTAGTACTGAGCCAGCGAGAGGGAGTCTTGCCTGACAACCGGAAATTCGTCATGTCTAATCATTTATTTGTTTTATTTATGGCGCAACAAACTTAGAAATACCAGCTCGGTGCAAGCTGACAACACCCCAAGTTTCCTGATCTGATTACATTGTAAGTTTTCCTGTAAAATCTTAACACATAGAAGAGATCACTTTTATCAAGTTTAAAGGAAATGTATGGGTTCAGGAGCTACACCTTAACATGAAGTTGGTAATATTTCCATTCCTTTTGCGTATAAACCCCTCCTGTAATTGTGTAACTGTACTCTACACATAACAGTTCAAAGTTGCTTCTATTCAGCTTTACACACATCTTGCTGACTGTAGGGTTGTCTATATTGCGTTTCTGGTGCTTCAGCTAAGGAACTTTTTTTAAAAGTAGGTAATTTGGTAAGTTTCAAGTTTGAATATTCCTCTCTTTGAATTGATTAATATCTAATATTTCCATTTAATTCATGTGGTTACTGCTAGAAACATGATCTGTTACTTCGAAAAGAAAGCGCTCCTTATCTGCCATGGAAGTAAGAGTCTCGTTAAATGATTATTAAGAATTGTAAGTCCGTTAAAATCAGTCCTCTATCCAATGAAAAATAATGATAAATTGATTTAAATTTCAACCAATTTTAAACTATTTCAACGTAACAATACTTTACAGAGAAATAATTCTATTGAAGAACATGCCTGCATTTAGGCTTTCGAATTTAATACTTACAACCACTTATTCAGGTTCTGGTTTTTAACAATAACATTCCACAAACCAAAGTGGTCACTCTAAAGCAATTTATTCAGGTTATTAGATATTTTACTCCCTTCAAAAAAGCTTCTAGTTTTCCTTACTTTTAGAAAATTCTGGTTCTGAACTTTAAGTCTACATTTGTAGCTAAAATTTCTTAAACTATATATCATACTAGTAGCCAATCCCTGCAATATTTCTAATATGGCAGTGGTTCCCAAACTCTTTTAGTCTGTGGCGCCCTTGATGTGAATAAAAATGTTTAGACCCCCCCCCCCCAACCTATAAAAATGCCTTAAAATATGATTTCAAAAAAGAATTGCTAATGAACTTTATTGATATCTATTAAGTACTTCTTCTATTAATTTGTATGTTTGCAAATCTATCGAAACAAAACAACTAGAAATTTGTTTTGTGTGTCGCATTGGACGTTTTAGTAATTGAAAAAAAATAAACAAAATTCCAAATATTTCATACTGGTACGCCGTACCGGTTTACTTTCACCACTGTTATTAACATTGTACGAAAAGTATAGCAGATGTTGACTAACCTGTCTTACGCTTACCTTTTGTGCTTAAGTGTGTGCACAATCAGTCAGCACTTTCTTGAGCCTCGCCACCGACTGACGTGGCTGTCCCCCACCCCTCACTACTTCAGTATGGTGAATGAAAAACAGTGCCGTAGTGAAAACAATAACATCTCCTTTCAACATATCATTTAATTAATTCAACTTAGTATTTATCGGCTTATTGTTTATTTAGAATTAAAATTAATTCAGCATCTTTGTTTTGGGCCCATTTTTTGGCGGCCCTCCAGAAAAAGCTTCACGGCCCCCAGGGAGGCCGCGGCTCTCACTTTAAGAAACACAGAAACACTGCAATACGTTTAGTGTTGTAAGGAGCACAAAACTGCCCACAGTACATCAAATGAGGCTTCAACCGAATCTTATACAAGGTGACACGTACGTTCATGCTCTTAAATTCATTATTTTATTAACTAGTAGATCTCGGAATTCCCCTACATTCACCACATTCAACTATTAAAATGGACCGGCATAGCCAGGTGGTTAGGGGGCTCG